TTCGACTTATAAAGGGATAAAAGTTTCAGGAAATGAAAATGAATAGTATTGGGGAAATGAGAATTTGAGGGAAGGAAATGTCGGGGAAATGTTCCAGGGGGAGTGATTCGACGCGTATATAGGGTCTTTGCCTTGAAAATCAAGTTATGTCCCATATTTGATTTTCAAGGCAAAGACCCCATATAGTAATTTAATATATACATATATAGTTTTTTTACTCTAGATCATGTGATAAATTATAATGTTTTCTATAATTGTTATGCAGAAAAGAACGTGTAACTAAATATTTTTAAATATTTTTTCGTTAATTACATAATTCATCTCCCTGCTTCAATTTAAGTGTACTGATACGTAAACTAGTGTTACTTAAACGTTGAGATTGTTTCAAGGGCAGCGATAAATTAAATGTTCATTGATAGAAAGTTGAGAACTTGTTCTTTGGCTATTGGTTTCTTTCGTATTAAAATCAATCAAGGAGTTATTTCGACTTAATGTTATAAAGCTTTCTCCGATCGAATAATATGATGTCGATGCATTACTTATTGTATCAAGATTTTCATCTAACGCTAAACGATTTCTTGGATGAACAGGTTGTAATAACTTGTTTGATGAATCCGTGTTTGTGGGACTTGAGCTTGTGAAAGTTATGGATTTACTGCAAGTTTCTGGCAGAGATAATAGGTGTGCCTTAGGAACAATGGACGCAGGTCGCATTATGCTAGAACGAGTATCTTTTTCTATTTTCGTATTTGATCCCGTACTAGATATTATCATACTTGATATTTTCGAACTTGACATTCTCCTACTTGACAATGTTTTGAAAGGGTGTTGCGGATTTTTCATCATGCTGAACGCCCGACCCAATGGTGCATTATTTGGAGTTGGCCTTACTGAGCTAAAAATGATCAAAAAAGCACAATTTAGAAAAGTTCTTATAGATAAAAGTAAATAAATTTGCAACCTTACTTGTAAATTATAATAAATTGCGCGATTTGAAAGCAGAATGGTTCGACAAAATTCAAGACAATAAAATAAAAAAGATTAATAGATTCATTATTGTTTGTAAATTTTTTGTAAGTAATACCAAAGACAAGGGATACGAGTGCAAAAAGAGAACCCCAAAGTGCAAAGACTAGGACAACAGTTGAAAGCTAAAAAAATAATAGTACAAGAAAAAAAATTCCAATTTAATAATTCATTTATAATCTATTTATAATTCATTTATAAATAAACTTTTAAAATATCACAAGCTCACGTTCGTGGCAGCGACTTGCAATGTTTCCAATTTCCATTGAATCATGGTATCTCCTTTTGGTCGTTGCTTCAAATCTGTCATGTGATATCTTAACAAACCAAGTAACCTGAGCCAAAAATATAGCAAGGTTACTAAATATACAGAAATCCAAACAGACCAAATGATATAATGGATTTCAAATAATTTGTTGGCTATTTCTGGACTGCTTTCTGCATGATATCCTGTCATATAAGAAATCGGTGTATTTATAAAGAAAGGTCCTAAAATGAAATATAATGCCATAATGTCGATAAACCGTTTTTTTGGAATAAATTTATCCTGATAATTAACATGTGTCGGTTCTAGAGTAGGAATCGAATAAACTATAACGAAATATTTTTATTAAAATTACGAAATATTTTTATTAAAATTTTCACATTTTATTAACAAATATTCAAATAAAACAAAAACTTACTGATCCCAACAAGATACAACACTGAAAATGCGAAAGATACTTGTCGTGGCAAATCTGCCAATACTTTAAAACATAAAGTTAGTATAAAAAATCTTGAATTAGTGATGAAAATTAGTGAACGATATAGTCAATAAAAAATCATACTTTCAGCCCAAGCAACACTTGGCATGTAGTCATTTAATAAACATGCTGTATCTACAATTTGCACTAAAGTCAAGAATCAAAAATAAATATAATATTTTATTGGGTTTAAGAATTAAATAATATCGATAACATACGTATATTGAAAGAAATTGTTACGAGATGAAATGCATCATGTGGTCTTGACCGTATAATGCCACGATCTCGTGATGCAGGAAAAAATAAATATTGGCCTTGGTGGTAAATTCGGTACCAAAGAAAACATGCAGAGATAGTAGAAATTAACGCAGCGTGAAAAATAAGAATCCAACTTCCTGTCCGCAGCATAAAAGAATCTATGCAATTGCTTAAATTTATGCGAAAATCGCAAGTACAATGTGTTATTGTATTATTTGTTTCATTTTGGTTTGTTAAATCCAAACAGGTTAAGGTATATTTATTGACCAGTTGAACCATTAATAAAAAACTGTTTCTATAATTTTTGGGGGAAGACAATTAATTATCTAGAGATTTCATAAGGTAGTCAATCAATCTACGAGGATCGAGATTATGAGCCCGATCAAATTTATCCAAATGCGTGACAAGGTATCAGATAGTAAAGAAAGTTTTCATTAACAAATTCAAATTGTCTCGATTGATGGGCAGTAATGAGAAATGAGAAATATGCACTGCCTGCAAAGAAGCGGGGGAGGATGGAATTCAATAATTGAATATGAAAACCTTTTCAATGATTTTGGGTGGGCCATAATAATGCATGCATATAAACATTTGGAGCACTAAAATAAACAATCGTCTTAGATTGATACCATTCTCAATATCAAACAAATTTCGTCATTTTTAATTGGTTCCTAAATTAGAAATACAAATATATGCAACGGAAATAGTACGTACGTACGTACCTATAGCGTGGACCACGATGCTCCCGCTTAAAGTATTCCCCATTAAAAATTTGATGGTATATAGAATGTAAAATACCCTGAGATATATCTTGTAAAAGTATTTTACATTCGAAAATCGCGAAGTACAGTATCCCCTAAATTTCGTCTACTGCACTTTAAGAATTTCGACGAAGATTCTTAAATACACAGCTTTTAAGATTTATGCACCGATAATTATAATTTAACCGCCAAAAATGTCATGCGCATATGTACAGTACATACGCGCGCGCGTGGCGCAAGTTCATGTTACATTAAGTTTGAAAAAATCGATTTAAATCATTTATTATCGCTATAATTGCTTATGTCACAAATAAACATTACGGGTTTAAGGGGCAATTTATTAATCCGAATAGTTTGTACGTACGTACGTACGTAAAACAATTGTTTCTTTTGTATTACTTATTCTGGATGTTCATAAAACATTCAACTAATTTTTCGTGAGTATTACAATCTCAAAAAGGAAATTTAGTATGAAAAATAACTAATTACGTAAGTTACGTAGAATTTAAGGTTAGGGCGTTAGGTCGGTTTAACATTAGTTTTCGAGTATTTCTTCATTGATTACCTAATTGTTTCTTTTTAGAAGTTTGTATTACTCGAGAAAATAAGTGAAGGCAAATTGAAATAGAAAATTCCAAATTGAAAATATTTAAGTGATGGTTTTAAGGCAATAATGAAGAGAATTAACTTTAGCTTGAAATATATTGAGGCTTTTGATAGTAACTTGAAAGTAAATCTACTGTATTAGTTTATTATTAGTTTATTTATCTGTATTAGTTTATTATTAGTTTATTTATAATAATAAGAATATAATTGTCGGTTAAACTGGTTTGGTGTTACGGGCGAAATTGAATGAGAAATCTAACGATGAATGAAAAATAATACAAGACAACTCGCCAGAGGCGTGACTAATGATGATTTAGCAATTTTATTATTTAAGAGTTTTATGCAGGAGAAATTTTTTATTAATTTATAACCCATAGATTCTGTTCTTTTACAAAGGCAAAATACTAATCTAAAATGAGCTAAGAGAACGATTGCGTGATGGGCTTTATAATAATAAATTCTTTCGATTTAAAATAATGAGTTCTATTATCCTTCTCTTTATCAACTTATAACTGAGCCTTCTTAGCCACACTGCACTGTCATACTAAACTTTAGCCACGGATATGTGACTTCGCTGCGATTGTTTGCCCAGCCAGTTTAAGCCTCATCAAAGGTGCAAAGTCTTAATCTTTATGGCGTCTTAATTCCTTATTATTGGACCTAGCTGCCACACCACAGTAGATTCTTGATTTTGATTGGCTAAGAGGGACGATCAAAAATTTAGGCCAAAGTTACTTAAAAATTTACTAATAAACTACAGCCACCCATTAAGTAAATAATGTTTTGAATTTTAAAATTTTGTTATTTTTTAAAATTGTCAATTTATACAAAATTTTACTAAGCTAATTGATTTTATATATTAAATAAATATATATATATATATATATTTTTTTCAGCATGTCCTGCCACTGTTTTATTAAGGTATTTTCTGAGCAAAAATTACAAGAATTCTTAACTAGTTATTTCTATGACCGCAAACAGTGACTCACTCGGCTTTAACAGCCCAGGTGTGACATCGCCTAGTAGCCGTTTGCCTCTCTCTGGGCCTCTAACTTATTAGAAGCATGAATCTTTCGATCATTGGCCGGTGCCACAAGCCATATTAGTATCATCTTTTCTTTTTACAAACTGAAATACAAACACAAAATCAAAGTGCATAAAAGAAAAAAGGGGTGATACCTCGGCGTCCAAATTCGATCCTCCTAAACAACAAAAAAACCCAAAATAACATATAAATGAAAAAACAAAATAAAAGAAAAAAAAACAAAGATAGCACTATTAAACCTGTGCCAGATTGTAAAAATTATATAGTACTACTAAATAAACTAGACTAAACTCTATACTAGTTATTTATGTCTATATTAGGATATATAATATATCCATTCTTGAGTAGAGATCCAAGTTTGAAATTTCTCTTGCAGACCTACTAGGTTTTCGGTGCGGTCTTCTGTAATGCATTCTCGTGCTTGATATAGCTTGTACCTGAGCAAAGTTAGCGTACTAGGGTGCTCGGTATAAACACCGTGACCTCTTGAGGAAACTGATCAGACGTTATTCATCCCAAAGTAGGTACGTACTCCTGTACGTGACTTTCTTTTTTTAGCAGTGATTGTTTTTGTCAATCCTTTGATGGGGGTATGCTGGATTTTCTACTTTTTGTCAAAATTTCATAAAGAACAAAGAGTGGGTTTTGGAAGAGGGTTTCGGTTTGTGAGTAGCCTTAAACTTCAATAAGGAGTGTGTTGAAAATTTGTTTGTTGTTTTTCTTTAGACCAACTAACTTTAACTTCGTCAGCAGAAGCTGCTGCAACAGCTATACTTCTATCAAAATTTTTTGTACAAGGGCTTTACCTTCTGCCAGTTATCTTGTACAAAAATGCTTTTGACTTGCTTGCTAAATATACAGAGAAGTTCGAAAGAAAATAATAAAGAAAATGAAAATCTTGACCTTTGTAAAAATCATTATTTTAGTTGTCTCTTCTACTATTCTCCAACAAGTTTTCCGTTTTCATTAGTCGAAAATTTGGTACGAGTGATCATCGGGAAGAGTTGCTTGTAAATAAATATTTTCTAATTAAAATACTTCTAGTTAAATAAAAAAAAAAAAGATAACTATCTTAATAAAATTTTGTATAAATAGCTATTATATTTATAATTTTAATAAAAATTAAATTAAATATTTAAATATTTGTCAAACAAATCAAATATTTTGTTAATTTAAATTTGATTTGATTTGAAATTTTTGTATTTAAATTTAATTTAATATTAAATTTTTTATTATTTGATGTGAGTATATTGTGAGATCTGGTGTAATATGAAATCAAAACAAACTAACAATACATTAATTTAGAGTAAAGGTTAGCTCTAATATAGAGTTAGATTAGATTTAATGTTAGCAAATAGAACAATAGAACAAAAGTTCAATTTTTTTGTCTTTATATAAAAAATTTTTTTATTAATAATTTGCAATTATTTAAATATATATTGTTAAAACATTAGTAAAATAATAAATTTAAAATATTTTTATATTTAATTAGTAAAATTTAAAAATAAATATATGCATTGTTTACTGCAATGTGTTTATACATCGCATCTATATATATAAATTATAATTTGTCTTATAACAACTAAAATAAACCAGGATTTTTTTGTTTGGTTAGAGTTAGATAGAGTTAAGATACAATATAAAAGAAATTTATAGTAAAATTTTGAAAGAAATTTTTTTTGTTAGAGCGTGAAAGATAGTTTTATATATGAAATTTTGAGTTATAAATAACTTTTGCCAAAACAAATATTTGTTTTGAATCTTCTTGATCGTGCTATATTATACCTGATCTTGAAATTTGATTGGTCAATCATTTAAAATACAATATATCCCTTAAACCATCCAGCAGCTAAATATACCTGCTAGAATATTTTTTTTTATATTTTTTTATAATTGC